CACGGGAGGGGGAGGAGGCAGGGGAAAGGAAGTGGGTGTTAACAAACCCAGGGACAAGACAACAAGTGATCTAAAATAGATGGCGAGGAGGGTGTAGGAGGCCTGCTAGGGCTTAATCAAGGGTAATGTAGCCGAGAGGAATTACTGAAACCTGAATGAAGGCCAAACATGACATTGGGACAAGAGGAAAGTAAAAGGAAATAGAGGAAAGACCTAGGAGGCAAAGGGCATTTTAGAGGTCTAAATAGAGGCATGTATATATGTAAATATCTCTATATATAATGATAGGGAAATAGATCTATGAACATATATTTATGTATTAAGAATTAAGGTAGCAGACAGATATTGGACCTCAATTCAAGTACTTCCTCAGTGCAAGAACACTTTGTTGAAATAACCCAGCATTCTATGGTGCTCACCTTCCCAACACCATCTCTGAAGACAAAATGGGTGCATAAACAAATGTGAAGAAAGCTGATGGTGCCCCTGGCTATCAAAAGTTATAGCGCTTGAAGATAAATAGGCGGCCATCTAACTGAGAAGAAACAAAGCCGACATGAAAGAAGCACACCAGCCTGTGTGATCATTTGGTGTCAATGGGAGCAGGTATCAGGCATTCAAGACCCAGAACAAAAAAAACATATCAATATGAATGAGGGAGAGTGCGGAGTGGAGGCCCAAAGCCCATCTATAGACAATTGGACATCCCCTTACAGAAGGGTCAAAGGAAGAGATGGGTTAGTCAGGGTGCAGTATAGCACTTATGAAACATACAACTTTCCTCTAGTTCTTTAATGCTTCCTCACCCCCACTATCATGATTTCAATTCTACCTTACAAATCTGGCTTGACCAGAAGATGTACACTGGTACAGATAAGAGCTGGAAACACAGGGAATCCAGGACAGATAAATCCTTCAGGGCCAATAATGAGAGTAGCAATACCAGGAGGGTAAGAGGAAGGTGCAGGGAGAAAGGGGGAACCGATCACAATGATCTACGTATAACCCCTTCCCAGGGGAACGAACAACAGAAAAGTGGGTGAAGGGAGACAGAGGTCGGTGTAAGAAAAAAAAAAAGTATAAATTATCAAGGGTTCATGGAGGTGGGGGAAATTAGTTGATATCAAAGGTTCAAATAGAAAGAAAATGTTTTGAAAATGTAAGGAAAAGTATAAATTATCAAGGGCTCAAGGGAGTGGGGGAAATGAGTTGATACCAAGGGCTCAAATAGAAAGAAAATGTAAGGAAAAAAAGCATAAATTATCAAGAGCTCATGGGGGTGGGGGAAATGAGTTGATATTAAGGGCTTAAATAGAGAGAAAATGTTTTGAAAATGATGAGGGCAACATATGTACAAATGTGCTTGACACGATGGATGGATGGATGGATGGATGGATGGATGGATGGATGGATGGGTGGATGGGTGGCTGGATGGATGGGTGGATGGATGGATTGTGATAAGAGCTCTAAGAGCCCCCAATAAAATGGTTTCAAAATAAATAAAATAGATATGCCATGCCTACTTATGGAACAACAATATTTAAGTCAAATTCCTTCTTTTATGAAAAACTGAATAAAATTAATCTGGAATTCAGAAGAATAAATGTCCATATGCACAGTCAAATTATCTTTAAAGAGGACAAAGGAGCTTGCTCTACCAAATCTTCTAGCATAAGGCATCCTGCTCAGTCGGACAGCAAAAAAGAGGAAGGTTCTCGACAAGATGGATTAACATAGTGGCTGCATGGACTCAAACAGAAGAACAATTGTGAGGGTGTGTAGGGCAAGGCAGTGTTTCATTCTGTTGTATAAGAGAGGGTACCTCCCAAAAAACTGGAATTGCATTGGGAAGAGTGGACCTTTTGTAGTTCACATTTTTTTCTGCTTATGTGAGCATCAAGCAACTTGCTCGGAGTTAATGCACCCAGTAGTGTCACCTGGGAAGGTTCTCTTCTGGTCACAGTAACTTTTTTTGTAAAAACAGTTTCACTTGAACCTTATTTTTTGTAATGGCCAATTTAAGAAAACAGTGTATGGCTGTGAAATTTTGTTTCATGTTCAGGAAAAAATTGCCACAGAAACTGTTGTGATGTTGAACATAGCTTACCAGGACAGCACTATGGAAAAACGCAAGTGTACGAGTGGTTTTCTCGTTTCAAATAAGGTGAAATGTCGATAGATTCTGGACTTGTCAATTTCCCAAATGGACGAAAATGCCAACTTGTAGTGCATTTGGAGTTCGTTCTACCAGGTCAGACTGTTAATCAAGCTTTCTATTTAGAGGTTCTGAAAAGACTGCATAACAGTGTGAGACAAAAATGGCCTGATTTGTGGCAGACGGGGGACTGGTTTTACCACCACGACAATGCACCTGCTTATGTAGCCATCTCAGTGTGCCAGTTTTTGACAAAAACCAGCATCCCTCTCTTGCTCCACGCACCTGATTCACCTGACCTTGCTCTGTGTGACTTCTTTTTGTTTCTGCAAATGAAGAGGGACCTGAAAGGACAGATCTAATGATGTAGAAGAGGTAAGGACAAAAACTAGGGAAGTGCTATTAGCCATCTAAAGAGATGAGTTTGAAAAATGCATCCAAAAATTGAATCGCAGATTTGACAGATGTATTAAGTACATTGCAGAGAATATGTTGAAGATGATAAGATTGTTTTGTTAAAAAAAAATTTAAATACATAGTTTTGGAGGGGAAAAATTCCAGGGTTTTTGGTCCCCCTTGGTGTATCGGGTCACTATGCGTCAGAGCTGACCCCAGAGCACCCAACAAGTACAAGATGGTGCAAAAAAAAAACCCCCATGGATGTTGGTGCAAGGTTCTCAAACATACTTATTAACTAAATAGATTTTGGGTAGACTTTTAAAAACCATTTGGGTAATAGTTAGATTTGGGGGTAGGGAATGTTGGAGAACGTGGGTCACTGTTTTGAAGAAAGACAAATTACTACCTAATTGTATACAAGGTTGGAATCTGGATGGATTCAAGTCACATCTATGAAAAGTAAAACTTGAGTTAAAAGAAAATATAGAAGCATACTGTATGATCTAGGGGTAGGTGTGGCAGTTACAGAATCTCCTGTGAACTTGAGCAAAAGGATGGAGTCTAGCCTGTCAATCAAGTCATAGCCAATGGTGCCTGTGTGTGGGCATGGCCTTCTCCTGAGGATTCTGGGAACTCCAGTTTTCTTCCCTGGAGATTGGACACAGACTTCTCTGCTACACATTCCTTTTGACAAGCCTCATGGAGCTAATATTAATGGCACCCAGAACCCTGGAGCTGGAGGAGCCACATGGATATGCGTACCAGCATTGAGATGCTTCTACTGCCACTGGATCCACAAGACTTTCCACCCACTGGACTGTGAGCTTCCGCCATTTGGTGGCATTGCATATGTTGCATGAGTCTGAAGAATCCAACATATGGGCTAGTATTGGCCCTATGGACATGATCTGGAGTGGACTGGGCTGTTTTCTCTTATACAATTACTATATGATTTAAAGCCCTTTCTTTTATATATATATGAATCTCCCTGGATTTGTTTCCCTAGTCTACCCAGACTACCACAGTAGGAAGTGAGCGCAGTGGTGTGCCCATTGGCCAAATTCTTATCTTCTGTGCAGGAGACACAGGCTCAGTCCTCCGTCGTTGCACCTCATGCACAGCCTCAGTAGATGCTGAATACGCTTCAGAGGAGCTTCCAAATTGAAAAGGGTCTGGAAGTTACTTATGGAAATTAGCCAAAGAAAACCCTGTGGATCACAAAAGTCTGATATGCAACCAATCGGGGGTGGGGGGTGGTGGTGGTGGTGGTGGCGGTGGTGGCGTAGTACCAGGCAGTGTTTCATCCCCTCGTGTATGAAATAGACAAGTGTGGACCCTGACGATGGTTGCAATTCCTGAAACCAAAAAGAGAATAACTGAGTATATAAAGAATGGCTGCAAGTCAACAGGAGGACAATAAAAAAAATAGTTGTCAAGTGAATTTAGACTCTTAGTGGCCCTGAAAGACAGTGCGGCCCTGCGCGTGACATTTCCGGGTTGCAGTTATTGGGGAAGTCGACTGCCACATCCTTCTTCCTAAGCAGCTAGTGGGTGGGAACTACGAGTAGCCCAGCCATCAGGGTGCCATAACAAGAGGATGGTAATAATCCCTATTGAAGGACTGGATAACAAAGTAGGCAGTGACTAAACAGGCTAAGACGGCAGATCTAGAGATGCCCAACGTCATTAGTAGTCAAAGAAATGCAAATGAAATACTGACAAATCACTGACCGGTAGAATGGCACCGCAGTCAGCAAGTTGGAAAATGCTGACTAGCTGTAGAGACGTGGGTCTGGTACCTATCGGGAGAGGTACGGAGGCTCTCGTACTTGGCTGCTGGGAGTGTGGATGGTCCAGCCAGCTTCAAAGACAGTCTGTCAGTACTGAGTCAAATTCTGGCTATAAATGCTTAGTCTTCTCAATTCTTCCATGACTGTACATAAGGAGAAAATTCTCACAGAGGTCCAGAAGGAGGCTTGTATTCTTTAAATCTAATTTGTGGTATTGGGAGATGTAACAAGTATGACCATCAGTGGGAGCCTGGAGAGGTAAAATCAGATGGATATCCGTACAGCGTGCAGTGAAGCTACTGATAAGATGTACATATAGATGGACACAAATGGTTCTCAACAAAGTGAGTGAAAAAAGAAACAAATCGAGGTAAAAATATACAGAATGCATAAACATAAATTTATAATAAATACAGAGGTAAACATTCAAAAGACTAATTCCCCTATAAGTAGGGAACGAAATGCAAGTGGCATTAATGGATTAAATAAAAAGGGATCAAAGAGAATAGAAACATGAAAGACCAAAAATAAAAAGGACTGTTACTGTTAAAGGTGTTCCTGGTAAACTTGAAAGCTGGATGAATGGTAGAGATGAAGAAATTTAATAGGCCATCATTCTTCATGTAACAACTCTCTTGCTTCCCCAATGCATACAGGGTGGAAGCTCTGAGAGAAGCAGCAAGCGCTGTTGAGCAAGAGAAAGAAATCCTCCTGGAGATGATCCACAGTATCCAAAATAGCCAGGACATGAGGCAGATCAGTGATGGTGAGAGCATTCCCACAGGAGGGGACTCCTCTCTGACCTATGGCGCAAGGGCTGGGGGTGTGTGAGGGCCAATATTTGCTCTGTTTGGGTCTGAGTTCATTGGGCTTCAGCATTTATTGTGAGCTGCCACGGAAGCCATCAGTCTGTTGCAGCCGTCATTCTTCCAACATGCTCCTCCTGAACCTCAGACATGGCTGGCAGGCCCGCAAGGTCCGGAAGAGCACAGCTTCCTGACCTTGTGTTGGACCCCAGGTTGACACTCCTAACTGTAAGACACTGAGAGGCAGACAAGAAAGATGCGAGTTTGGAAGGAGAGACGTAAGCACAAAAAGGAGTTGTACTGGAATGTGAATTACTTAAGAGGGGAAATAAAGTACGAGAAAAACCAACCATGAATGCAAAAACATGCTATTATTTTCATAGGAAAAGCAGGCCTGACCACAGAAGAGGTCACATGTAAAATCCATTTCATTGGCTCTGAACTTTCTAATTGGATCCTTTTCCCACGTCACAGGGCAAACTAGTGGGCCCAGGAGCTGGCGAGGTTAAGTAATCATTCTGACAGATCCACAGAGGAGCCACGATCTAGTGTTTCTTCAGCGTTGTAGTCACTCATCCATGAGTTGGGAAGTTAAGGCACAGGACCAACAAGAGATTGCTGGCTTTCTCGTATAAATAATGTGACAACTGAGCTCCTCACCCCATCTTTCAGTGCTCTGGACAAGACTAGCCTTGCTTGCTTCAGTTTGTCTGGGAAGGATGAAGTCAGTGTCTTGTTTTGAGGCTGGTCATTCTCCATTATGATGGCCGTGTCTTCTCAGTCACAGAGGGGCATATATATAGATACACATCCACCCTTTATGAGATGCAAGACACCTGTCTCCACATTCTCTGGGTGCGATTTTATCTCAGTAACAAATCCATTCCTTCCCAAACTTCAGCAAATATGCTAGCACCTAACAAATCTGCTGTTATCCCAAGTATACAGACTTTCTGGCAAAGGCATTCTACAACATTACATGTCATCAATTTTATGTACTGTAGATTTAGCCTTTACTTTAAAAAAAATCATAGGAGAAAGGCTTACAGAAAAGAGTGGATTTAGCCACAAGTGAATGCCTCTGTGCTTTTTTTTTTGACCTCTGTGCTCTTGACAGAGACAAGTTTGTTTCTGGTTGATGATTTTCTTCGTTGTGTGTTTAGGAGAAAGAGAAGAATTAAATCTGACTGCAAACCGTTTGATGGGAAGAACGCTCACCGTTGAAGTGTCAGTAGAGACGATCAGGAACCCCCAGCAGCAAGAATCCCTAAAGCATGCCACCAGAATCATCGATGAGGTGGTCAACAAGTTTCTGGATGACCTGGAAAATGCCAAGAGCCACTTAATGTCACTGTACAGTGCTTGCTCTTCTGAGGTGCCCCCTGGGCCAGTTGACCAGAAATTTCAGTCTATAGTGATTGGCTGTGCACTTGAAGACCAAAAGAAAATTAAGAGAAGATTAGAGACTCTGCTCAGAAATATTGAAAACGCTGACAAGGCCATTAAGCTGTTGGAGCATTCTAAAGGAGGTGCTTCCAAAATGCTGCAACACAATGCTGAAAGCAAAGTCAATTAGCTCTGAAACCTACATGTTATTTACAAATGATGTGAAAGTGATGAGAATACTATGTGATGTGATAACTAGTACTTCATGTAAGGCATAACCGCTCTCATTGGATACTCAATGCAGTTTCAGATGAGAATATCCCAGCATCATGGGTTTTGCAACCAACACAAGACCAGAAATATTTTAATTGCCTACCTAGTTTTTAGATTGAATTGTCTTCTACTAGATCTAGCTGCTAATATATACATATATTTTTTACTATTCTGTGGATGGGTACATAGCAAGAAGGGCTGCCCTGGGGATTTGCCGGGTGTGGAGACAGCGGAGCCCCGAGAGCAGTCCTTTGCCTTCAGCTGCAGCCTTCCTCTGCGACTGCCGGCCACAAAGCCCTGTGCTTCCAGACATGAGGAACTGCACAAGAGGCTTTCCCTGTGTTCTCGCTGTCATTCATCAGACACTTTGGAGGTACTCGTATCAAACTTGTTAGAACTTAAAGATTTATGCATCTCATGCTATGTATTTTTAATGTGAGAAAAATCACTTATGATTTTACCACTGTGTCTAACTACTCGTTTTTCAAATACTTCATTTCTATAAAATCTTAAATCATTACAAAACTGAAATGTTGTAACCTGCCTTTTTTCCCCACCCCTTTTTAAGCTAAGTGCCACCACAAAGTCTTGGTAACTCAAAAACACTCTAGTGTGTTCTGCATAGCTGTACCCCAACTCACCTCCCGGTGCCCCTCCCCTTCTTGATGGGGGTGCTTCTAGCTTGTTACTACTGCTGGACAAATGCTTCGGGGCCTCGGTGTTTTACTTCTTTCTTGTTGTTCTAAGTGCATGTACGTTTTATGGCCTCTCACCAGCAAACAACTTCTTTGTGTAACCAATATAAATTCATTCTACAGTCATTAACATGTAACCATTTTACTGACATCCTTCCAGCACCGAGTGTTAATCTATTCCTAAAACTCTGTTAGGCAAACTCACATACAGTAGATACGTGATGAAACCATATTTTAATTTGGTATTTTATTCACCAACAAATCGGTCAATACATCATCTGTGATAACACAACTATAGAACACTTATTCGTCAAAGTGACCAATGCGATTGACACATAAAAACATAATTTCCTCAAATTCTGCTTCAAAGTGAATACCTCAAATTCTTTCATTGGAATATATTTGGTTGCACAGAAACATACTCCCGATCTAGATTAGTATGACAACTGTAAATGCTGAGTCTCCATGAAAAGAAATTCTGATCTGAGGACATGCGTGCTGCTCAAATGTCAACCTTCCCACTGCCCGGGGTCACAGACTTTGGACTCCCATCTGTGACAAGACCTCCGAGATGGCTAGCACGAGTCTCCGGGGTGCTGTCTTGAGGTTCACCTGCAGATGTTTTGTTTGCCATCTTTTTGGACACCTTTTGTTTGTTCTGTTACTGTTATAACTCAACATTTTATTTTTATTCAGATCCTATTTAAGCAATGAAATGAGTGTCCCGTTTTAATGATTCACCATCTTGTCATTAAGCCTCGTGCTTTTTGCTTCAAAATACAGACTTTTCTTGTATTTTGATAGTAATAGTGTTATTTTTCAAAATGTTCTTTTTTTTAATCGTTTTATTAGGGGCTCATACAACTCTTTATCACAATCCATATATACATCAATTGTGTAAAGCACCATTTGTACATTCATTGCCCTCATCATTCTCAAAACATTTCCTCTCCACTTAAGCCCCTGGCATCAGCTCATTTTTCCCCTCCCTCCCAGCTCCCCTCTCCCTCATGAGCCCTTGATAATTTATAAATTGTTATTTTGTCATATCTTGTCCTGTCCGACGTCTCCCTCCACCCACTCCTCGGTTGTCCGTCCCCCAGGGAGGTCACATATAGTTCCTTGTAATCGGTTCCCTCTTTCCAACCCACTCTCCCTCTACCCTCCCAGTATCGCCATTCATACCACTGGTCCTGAAGGGATCATCCGCCCTGGATTCCCTGTGTTTCCAGTTCCTATCTGTACCAGTGTACATCCTCTGGTCTAGCCAGACTTGCAAGGTAGAATTCGGATCATGATAGTGGGAGCGGGGAGGAAGCATTTATGAACCAGAGGAAAGTTGAATTTTTCATCGTTGCTACATCGCACCCTGACTGGCTCGTTTCCTCCCCGAGACCCCTCTGCAAGGGGATGTCCAGTGGCCTACAAATGGGCTTTGGGTCTCCATTCCACACTCCCCCCATCATTCACTATGGTAAGATTTTTTGTTCTGATGATGCCTTATACCTGATCCCTTGACACCTCGTGATAGCATAGGCTGGTGTGCTCCTTCCATGTGGGCTTTGTTGCTTCTGAGCTTGATGGTCGCTTGTTTACTTTCAAACCTTTAAGACCCCCAGATGCTATACTTTTTGATAGCCAGGCACCATCAGCTTTCTTCACCATATTTGCTTGTGTACCCTTTTGTCTTCAGTGATCCCTTCGATGACCTTTTGTTTTAGTGAACAAATCTCATGTTTTCCTCAGGTTCCCCAGTAACGTACTGTGAATCCCTTCCATTCAGAAACACTCCCCTTCCTCAAGTCCATGTTCCAATGTTCCATGTCAGTCTACAAAGTTCCCAAGTTCTTTCCAGCTGTGCCTCCCTCCAGGGCCTCTGTTTTCCTCATTCTGTCTCTCCCGTGCTTCCCAATGGAGCTTGACTGGAAACCATTCCCTATCAGACTTGGAGAACTCTTCGCTGCCACCTCTAAACGTCTTGGGAGTCTGGTCCACAGCATCTCCAGCTCTCAGTGCCTCTTGCTGGAGCCCCGTGGGAGGTGGCAGGGACTCAGGCATATTCTTAAGAATGGACATATAATTTATAATCAGGTGACAGTCATGTCTTTACTCTCAGTGTTTATGTGTAAAGTCTGGTTTAGACTTTGTGGGATTGAGTGTGTTGTGTCCTATGTGGATAGATTCCCTGGCAGTACTGTCCCAGGACCATACCACAACCAGCATGTAGCATCTGACTTTCAGAAAGCCCTTCTGCCATCCCTACCTACCCTGGCACTTTTCTACTTAAGCCCGCTTCTTGTCTTCCTCGACATGGATAGGCCCCCTAAGCCCCTAAGTACAACAGCCGGCAGGGCCTACAGAGGAGTTGACAAACTGGAAATTCAGTACTCATCAGGATCAAAAACCCTGCCCAGTAAAAAGTCAAATACAGAACTGACCCTGCTGGCCCTTCACTAGAGACCCAGCATATTTACCAAGTTTCTAGAGCTTTCAGAAGTGGGGAAGGGGAGAGCTACAGTAATGCGCGGCAACTGAACTCTGCCGTCGAGGTGATGCTTACAGTGACCCTATAGGGCAGTTCAACTGCCCGTGGGTTTCTCAGGCTCAGAGCTCTGGTGGTGTACTGCGTTATGACTTGGGCCAACTGGAAGGCCAGCAGTTCAAAACCACTACCTGTTCTGCAGGCTAAAGGATTTCTGCTCCTTTAAAGATTCAGTGCCAGAAACCAAAGGGACAGTTCCACCCGTCTGTCAGGTTGAAATCGACATGATGGCAGCGAGTTTGAGGGTGTGCTCCCAGTACGTGTTGCATCCTGCAGGGGGCACCGTTTACACTGTGTTCTGTGTGAAAGTGCCACGTGAGGAGACGGGTTACACCCAGGAACTCAGCAATGACGATAGCCATGGTCCTCCAGATGGACACAGCACTAACACTCAAAATGCTCACAATTCACCCTACCGACGTGACCCACTAATTGGAGAATTCTGCTTTAGCGTTCTAAGATTGGAAAGCATGCGACTCTAACAACTGGAAGTTTTACTCTGACACAGCAGCAGCAGAGCCAGACTTGGCAAGCTAACAGACACGCAATAACTTAAACTAGGAAACAGCCATTTGTTCTTTTTGAATGACTGGTAGTAATAAATAGAGATACATTTGCTGTACATCTGTGATATTTATAATTATTCCAAGCAGTTAAATTAAAGCGGAGACTCTTGAAGAAGGCAATAAGGACGCCAGTTAAACTTGAACTTAGACTTTCTCTAGCTTGCGTTTGTGTGAGACACTGCTTGTGTAACCAATTAAAATGAAACAAAATGAGAAGCAATGATCCCTGCGAGCTGTTCAGGTCCTTGAGTTTTCCATCAGAACGAACAGGAGGCAACTTGTACTGTACCACCTCAGTCGTAACCCCCCACCTCAGGCCATGCCACCGGAGCACGGGATTTTCCCTGACATATAGCAGGCCCTCAAACATGCTTGTGGAAGGCTCATTTCTGTAACTGGTTCAATTTCAATATGCAATATTCCAGGGGTGACCAGAACGGGTTACGGTGGTGTTTGTGAAAAAGTTTGACAGTGTCAAACACAGCGGAAATCCCTGACCGTGGAAAACCAGGTAATCTTGTACATCCATCTTCAAATGTCATCACCACGCCTGCAAGGTGCCAAGGTGGTGCCCGTGCTGGAACGAAAGCACACAAAGAGCAAGCACAGTACTGCGGGGCCGAGGCTGCTGCAGGAGCACCAAGGTGAGTGCCAGCCTCGACGCTTACCAGCAGGATGGCCCGGGGTATTGAACTACTACTCTTAAATCCCTCCCTGCCAACCCCAAATGTGAAATCAGGGTAGCTGATCCAATGAGTTATGAGGTTCAAATGAGACATTACTTGCAAGATGCTTAGCGTGGAGCAAAGAAGACACTTGTTCAATACATTTATATTATGCAGATATTTTATGCTATAAAATGAATGTGTCGAGGGTCAAAAGCCTCCAGACAAGACTAAAACAACTTTTCTGAAAGTAGACCAGTACTGACAAAATTCACAGATTTTGTCTCCAAGGCAGAAATCGGACGACCTACAGTCCTGACACTCACTGCTGCCCCCTTGACTCCAACGGGGTGCCCTGATGACGGGCTATCGGCAGGGCGTCTGACGACTGTGCGCTTCTCTCGACTTTGACACAGGAGGTCATCCAGAGCGGGGGTCGAACTCTATGACAACCGACTTTTATCTGAAATAGGAAATATTCTTTGGTTGTTTTCATCTTTAAAGGAAGCCACATACCAGTTTGTATTTTGTTCTATATTGGTCATACACATCACACACATCACACAAAATTCTAGCTTTGAAATGAACTTATTTTTATTTTTGATTGTTGGAATTTATCGTTCAAGAATATTTTTCAAGTCGTATACTTTTAAGTTTGAGGGCTAATTTTAATCTAATAGCAATATATACACGTGATATTCCATTCAAATTTACAAAACACTTTATTTAAAGTAACAAAAATATAGGAGGGGTTCAGTTTTCCTTTTAATCTAAACTTTTTATTTTTAAAAGACCATTTACCAACATCCTATTACAGGTTTTTTTTTTGTTGTTTTTTGTTTTGCCAGAAAGCACAACCTTTCTTTATTGTTCACCAGCAGGGACAGGGCAACCAAATGCCCCTATTACAGGTTTTTCAAGAGACAGATGGACAGGGACACCAGCTGATAAAGGCTACGCAAGCCCAATCACCCAGTGACCCAGGAGCGCGGTGATGGGCTCTTTCAGTGTCCCCTGTGGGCTGGAGTACCTTCTGTTACCAAACTATTCAAACGACAGGCTGAGCTGTTTCAGCTAACGGGACTCAGACTCAGAACCGACACTTCAGACTGGCATTCTGCCTGTGTGCACAGTGTGACAAGTAACGGAATGAGTTCACCCTGTCTGCACACTTTGCTCTCAGAGTTACAGCTATCCTAATGATATATTAATGGAAGCATATCAGCAGGTTACCAGTAACCATTTCAAATATTCTGAAAAGGATTCTAGCAAATAACAATAGCTTGCATTAAAGTAGTACAACACTTAAGAGTTGGGACATCAGGTCCTAAGGCTAATTCTCCATCCTCAGAGCTGGATCACTATCCCAGCCCCCAAACAGTCACAGGCACAGTGGAGCATCCAGCTACGAGTGACGTGCTTCCTAAGCAACGCACCCCAAACTTGGGAACAGCCTTCCTTCTGGCCTCCTCCCACCTCCCGCGGGCGGAATGCTCTTCCTCCTCTCTCTGGTGTGTCAGTTTTACTTCAGTTTGGAAAGACTTGGGTATGCTATCAACTTTGGACAGATAAAAAGAAACCGTTTCACCTTATTTTACTTAGCAATGACGCCATAACTGGGCTATTTTGTAACTATTTAATTTGAAAGGCGGAGATTGAAACCTGAGAAAACTGACATATATATGGCAAGTATTCCACAGCTATGCAAGGGAGCTTAGAAAAGTTGTAACACGCTGCACTGAGAGATCATGGATGTTTGCCCATGCGCTGGTTCCAGCCCCTGGTGTGTCTGCACACTACCAAGTAGCGGTGACGCTAGAAAGGAGATTTGAGCACACAAGCACAATCATGTGGGTCTCAGACAGGCTTTTCTTCAGCATCCATGTTTCATTAGGAAATAGCAATGACGTTATTTAAAAGAACTATGGGCCTTGGGGAGGGGCAGAGGAATCAGTGCCAATTTTGAGGCTTTCAAAATAAATTATTTAACAGTATTACGTATGACCAATTTTCTAGCCTATTGAGTTATTTAAAAAGGCAAATTGCGAATAGGTTTAAAATACAGCAGTGCAAATTTAAAATGTCAATGTGTAGCAAAGGTCTCTTCAGTTCTTGATTAAAAAATAAAGGCAAACATAAGTTCATAAAATTAGAATAACGGCGCTAGGAGCCATCAAACAACTGGGACCAATCATCAGGGACTACATTTTTTATATTGAACAGTAACATTCACGCCCACACAGTTCATTGCTATGTGATACAGAACCACGAGATAGTACTTGGGCTTTGTTGGCTAATAAAAGATCACAGGACTCTTCACCACAAAATATATTTTGTGTGAAAACTAAAAAGAGCCTGTCTGTCAAGAGAGGGAAAGGAAGTCGGTATCACCAGTAGGTACTCAGTGTTAGGGACCGAGTGCTTCCCAGCACCTCCACGCCTGCAGTGGAGTGGGGACAACCGCAGACACCGAATAAGCACTGGACATTCCTTTAGCGTACGGAACGCCAGCGCATTTCAACCCTATGAGAAGCAAACACTGACTCTGACTGCTAACAGGATGCCTCAGCACATCCTCTCATGGCCCCTGCCTTCTCTGGGCAGGGGATGACAACGGTGCACACAGAAGACTTAAAAGCAAAACAAGATAGAACCTACAAGAGGAATACGTAAAACATCATATATTTGGTACAAATAATGAGAAACGGTTTTATGACACATGTTCAGGAAAAGTTGTTTGTACATACTCTGAAAACCTGTAAAAGCCAGGTACACTGAAAGGGGTTATTTATTGTTTACAAACAAGCCAATTGATGAATGACCATTTTAACAGCATGCATGCAGTTAATCTCCATGAGAAAGCTACTGTCCCAAGTGATAAGATGTATGCGATGAAACGTGATTACATGTTAAAATGATTTCTTAAACTACATTGTTTTGTATTTGTTGCTGACAGAGCTTTTGAGGTGCTATACAAACCCAAGTTATGGAAATGTTGTGATATTCTGAAAATATCATACAAAAATGTGTAAACAAAGGGATGCCTTATAGAGTTACGGGGCCTTCTGAAATTCATACTTTGGACCAGGACAAAAGACTACCCATCTTTTGTGCACTTAAAAAAATTGTTAGCTTGAATTTAAAGTTCGAAACAGGGTTTTCTGCCAGCACTGCACTTCACAGGGCCCAGCAGGGGGCAGCAGAGGGGCTGTGTGGCTTCTGAGGGGCTTGGCCAACCTCACCACAGGATGAGCTCGCTGCCAGCTAGCTCCCTTGTGGGCAGAAAACCTGAGGGAGAAACTAGCACTCACATTCTGCAAGGAGACTCACCTGGGAGATGCCTCAGCACTGAAAAGTTTATGTATTCTGCTTTACCCTGTGAGCGAGCGTAACTGCTTGGAGGAGATTATAAACTATATCAATTAAAGAAAAGCATGTGGTCCAAATGTAAAAATCAGGCATGATATTTTTGGCACAAAACACTTTCAAAGCCTAAGCACATTTTGCAAAATAGATGCCTGGAACTTCTCGTAAAAGAAAAACTTTTAACATGCGCACAATGTGTAAATGGTTTCAGAACTGAATTAATTAGGATCGGGGTCTCCTTAAATACTGCACACACCTTCCACTTCAGTACCAGATACAGACATTGCACACGTAACACTGCCAAAATGCACCTGCGAGCAGTCTGGCAAGCTTTACGGCATAGCTTTCAAGATTTTTTTTTTTTTTACTAAGTATTCAAATTCAATACCATTTTCCAGAAAAAAGACATGATTAATTGCATAAAAGTAATGCTTGATATCTTCCCATGATCTATAAAATTAAGATCTGTACCAGTATATTTCATTTGTTTCCCAGCATTATGAAAGTCAGCAAGAGCCTGTTGTGACATCCCATAGCCGTCTTCAAAAACAGGAGCCGCTTCGTCTGAAGACAAACCATGAGATGAGCGCGCAGGGGGTGACTGTCGCCAGCGCCCCCCTCTGCGTGTGCAAAGCCGGGGAGCAGCGGCTCATTAAAGGCTGTCAGCATCCTGTCTGTGCAACCACTTGCCCCCTGCCTCAACAGCTAGATGTTACTTTTCTTATTGAACTGCATAATAGAATTCAGTCTCCACCCTAAGCAAGACATGCTTTAGGGTATGCTACAGCTACTGAAGGGATTTCGGTTTTTCTTGGTCCTCTGTTTGTTGGGTCGAAGACTGATGACATCTCCACCGTTAAGGGTACTTGAATTCTGACCCGAGTGACTCCCACCAGATGTGTTAAAGACACCTGTACGAATGGAGAGAAACACAGAGATGGACATCACACCCGGGGTTACTGTGGCCCCCTTCCAGGTATACTGCATGCACAGATATACTTTTTTACCCCCTCAGCCCACTCCAATGGTGGCATATTTTACACACTAGTCTACATCTTTTCACTAATAGTAAATGCAGGGAATTGTGAATCAGTAAAAACAGCAATTTTAACAATTTCACATCAGATACCTGCATCGAGAATACTTGACTGATCGTCAAGAGTAGGTGTGAGATTTTACGGAAGAGAAGCACTGTGCATGTAAAGCTGGTAGGAAGAAAGGACCCTCTACTTGGGCAAAAATCAAGAAAAGGTCCAGAGAAAATTAAAGTGACGTAACAGGAAAAGCTACAGAAAACCTTTCTAGAACTGTAGTCCCATTTTGAACTGATGGGCCACAAAATACAACCTTCAATGTATGAACTAGTTAGCACCCATGATACGGAAAAAGTGTAACCTGGTGCTAAAAGGAATACAAAGTGACCGAGTCCCATCCTGACCACCCATTTGTGAGAGGGATGACAGTAGACAGGGGCTTTACAAAGTTTGTAGGAACATTCTATTCTCTTTTAATTCACTTCCCCCCCAGACTTTTTGAAACCCTCTTTTATAACTGATCCTGTATATGACATAAAGGATCTCATCTACGGCTTAAAGGAAGGCGTAATCACATCTCACTGACAATCAAGGGAGAACTACATGAAGATTGGCATGAGTCCCTCGGATGCCCTAGACCTAGATCACTGTTCTTTAGGGAAGGCATGAGGAAGGAGGCTTCCCCCAGAGAGATGGCTAAGAGACCTCTCCAGAGAGGGCGTGAGGAACCAAGACTGCTTTGAAAGAAACTGCGAGAGGAAGCATAACAGAAGCCCCAAGGTGAGCAAAGGTGAACACGGTGGGGGACAGGAGCCTGCCTGGGAGAGGGCAACTGCCCGGCGGGCCTGGAAAGCAAGGGACGTCGAGAAGAGTGGGGCCAGACCACATGGAACCGTCTTTAAAGGTTGCGCTGAAGAGTCTATATTCAATTGTTGCATAATAAAAATCAAAGGTTTCTATCAGTGGCTTGGAAGAAGACAAGGCAAAAGCACATCATTATTGCCCTGTGTGAATTTACGAAACATCTGAGGTGTCTTAACAGTAAACATTAAATTAAAGTGGGAAAACAAGAAAAAAGCAACCAGAACCAAGGGAAGAATGAATTACAACAGGGGAGAAAAAGTGTGTGTGTGTGTGTGTGTGTCATGAGAGGGGGCTGGAGAACAATTATGAAGCCCTTAAGAGACTACACAAGTGTTTTGTAAGGTGCCCCCGAATCAGTTCCCCCGCAAACTGGCCGTGCACACAGAGAGCTGCGTTAGAAGCCATGGGCTTCGAGCATCTTCCTTCTGGAAGGTGAAGCAAAGGGGAAACGTGTCTAGCTGCTTTTCAAGAAATGCTAAACTTCTCTCTCTCTCTCTCTCTCTCTCTCTCTCTCTCTCTCTCTCTCTCGTGTGTGTGTGTGTGTGTGTGTGTGTGTGTGTGTTTGTGTGGTGAAAATGCTGTTAATGGTGCTGTTGCGTTGGTCCCAATCCACAGTGACTTGCTGTGCAACAGAGAGAAACACGGCCCGGTCCTGTGCCAGCCTCACAGTTGTTAGGTTGCTGTAGTGAAACTACCTACACCCAAATATTTGCCAACACAAATCTCACCTTTATAACCCCAAGACACTGATACATTTATCATGGGAATCGACATGCTGTTGCCATCCTCTTGCATACGTTCCACCATTAGTATAAATCACTGCCCTTACAATGGAAGATTTCCTGTTCCCCTTCCTACCCAATAATAATTCTTGGTTTCTACATTTGCTTATTTCATATAAATGAGATCTCACTGTATTTGTCCCTCTGTGGGAATCCTACACTTTTACTAGCACTTAACATTTTTAAAATCCAGTCATTGGAGATGTGAAAAGTTAGCAGGAACAGAAAGAGGTAAGAGACAGCACAAATATACAATGAGACAAACAAGCATGATACAGCTCTTATTTATCATGGGTGGGCTTTTATAAAATATCATTAAAATCTGGTATCTACCATATCAAATGGACTTAGAAAATTCAAAAGTGAAAAAAATTCAATATTCTCAAAGAAGTGATCTGATATTCTTTCTCTTTTTAAAATTTCTTCCTGATATTCTTTCAATAACCATTGACTCAGTACTTCCTCGTATTTCTCAGAGACACTGGCATATTATAAATACAGTAACGGAGAATGGAAAGCAGCTGTGGCTTCTTACCGATTTTATTACCGCTGGGACGCCGCACCTCTGGATCTGCAGCTACTCGTTGTTTGAGTTTTTGGATATATTTTTCAGCCAAATACTTAAAAACTGGAATAAAAAACAAGGCTCTCAGGCCCATATAACTTATACAGTGTAAACCCTGTCACTCCACATCACTGATCACAACCTGTCAAGCTCCCCTGCGCAGCTGATAGCCACTCGGTGGCTAAGACCTGGCAGTCTGGCGCTTACACAGACGCTGTCCAGAAAACCCAATGGGGTAGTTCTACTCTGCCACGTGAGGTCTGAGTCCAAACGGACTCACTGGCATTATAATGACATTATACCTATTTAAAATGTCATTTACATATACACAATGACATTACAATAGTTATACTTAATATATCTACATTAGAAGCAAGCATTAAAAATTAACTCTAGAAAATTATTTGGCCAATTCATTAGAGGGCCAATAGCATGTTAACAAATGGACAGTGGTTTTTACTAGCAGAAAATGGAATCGATAATTGTGGTCCCTGGCTCCTTAGGTTCAAGTCCTTGAAGGCTCCTTAGCATGCACTGATACTAAACCAAGTCTGGAAGATATGTCAAATTTCTTTAGGTTAAAAAAATAAATCTAATCAACATTAGGACCTCAGCAACAAATGAGTTTAGATTAAAACTAGAGAGATTAGATTAAATAAAATATAGAGCAATTCTGCAACAAGAAATGTTTTATCTTTTGCTAATCTTAATTTTCTTAAATGATGAAAAAAGTCAACAAAAAAGTCATCATTATATAATGAAATAGCTACTACCTTAGTATTTTAAAGCAATTTAGTAATATTTACTATGGAAGATTTTTTACAGTATGCATTATAAACACATTACATATTCATTCACACATATAAAGTTTAGATTTTGAAAGATTTTTTTAAGTTGACTATGGCAGATGTAGTTAGGTCAAAATGTAGTATTTTATCATTTAATCTCCCTTTTGACTGTTTTAAAGCTGTTTCAGTTAAAAAAAAAAGCAGAAGGGAAATGCACGTGTATTACACACCTGATGAACCCCCTGACCAAGCCTTGCTCTTATGCACAATGCAGTGGGAAATGGATTGTTGCAGGTCCACTTAGGTAAAAATTAAGCAGTCTATCATTTGATGTCCCTTATCCATTTACATTTGTTCTATTTTTTAATATTTTCTGTTTTCTTTGAAATTGCAGTTTTTATGTTTTACTTTGCCATTGTTGTTAGTCTTTCTGTTTGTTTGCTTTTAAGTTGTTCTGTCTATGGAATCCAGGATAAGTACATCTCTAGAGACAGTCACTGACTGAATGGTTTCTGAGGGTGTGGCAGGGGAGGCTGGAGGAAAATGGGAAGCTAATAATGATGAGTACAAGAATGAGGAAAATGTTCTGAAACTAACTGTGGTGATGACTGTAGAATTCTTCATGTGACTGAACTACTGAATTACATGTGAATTATAAGCCAGTAAAACTCTGGGGAGGCGGGGATGGGGCGGGGCGGGTGAAAGAACACCAGAAACGGTTCTGCTGTAGCGTGTCAACAAGCTTGGGGCCTTTAAAACACCTTAAGGATAGGCAACAAAGAGCAGGTTTCCGCTCCCATACGAATAAAATCGGGGGGAATGCAAGAGAAAAAGCATCAAGTTAAAACATCCCCTAGTAATAGTTCATATAAAAAGGCACTTTACCTTCATTTACATTTAGATCCTCTTTCACTGACGTTCTGTAGAATCTTAACTTCAACTTTCTCGCCAGCGCCTCGGCTTCCTCACTGCACATGAACCCAGATGAGAAAATGCCGACATAGGTAACTCTGCTTATTTTTAAGAATAGGTTTCACTATATTCACCGAGTAAAGAGGTGAGAGTCAGACCTGTAGAGGTTCTTCTTTCTCAGCTTACTGCTGATGCCCACTTTGGCAAAACTAACTGAAAGCTATGCTTCGCTTAGTGCCTACGAACGATTCAGTCCTCCCTCCTTGGAGGATTAACCCCGACCACCAGAATACTACAGCTGTGAACAGAACACTGTTCTACAAAATTACCACTTGGCTTCAGTATTACTTCAATAAACTCTCGCTTCTGTCTTTAACATCATTTGAATTACTCTGAAAATCTTACAATGAAATACTCACTTTACTCCTAATCTTCCATGTAAGCATTCTGTTGCCAAAGCCAGAATCACAGTATTAGTGACGGTGCCTCTAAAAGTTGAACCTAACTTTAGTTCTACTAGGACCACAGTAGCAGGCTCCAGAAGGTCTCATGCTGCACCAGTGTGTCACGGGTGGCCTGTGACCAATCACACGCTGTCAGCAGAACTGACAGCGTGCCATTTCTGCACAAGGTCATGAAAGAAACGGTGGCTTTCACCTGCCTCTCTCTTTGGATGACTTGTTCTGAAGCAGGCTCGCTGCCATGTTCTGAAAGAGCAGGAGCCCTAAAGAGAGGCCTATGTGGCAAGGAACGATGGCCTCCTGCCAACAGCCAAGCGAGTCAAGCAGCTTGGAAGTGGACCCTGCAGACCCCATCAAGCCTACATACACTTACAGGCTCGGTCGACATCTTGACCACAGTTTCAAGAAAATCCCTGACCTAAAATCTCCTCAAGTCACTCCTAACTTCCTCACCTACAGAAACCATTAGGTTATAGTTGGCTGTTTACGCCACGACATTTTGGGGTAGTTGATACATAAAAAACAAACACTGCCATCGAGTTGATGCTGGCTCACAGTGACCTTACAGGACAGTGTAGAACTGCCCCTGTGAATTTCAGATACTGTAGCCCTTCACGGGAGGAGAAAACCCTTTCTCCTGAGGAGTACCTGATGGTTTCAAACTGCTGACCTTGCGGTTAGCAGCCCAATTCGTAACCACTACAGCATCAGGGCTGCTTATAATTTGCTATAGAGCAACAGATAACTAATGAAAAATCACATTAAAAAAAAAACAAGGACAGAATTCCTAATGTATTATTGACACAAAAATTCTTAGAAATCTGGAGGCTAAACTCGGTTTGGAATTCCTGTGCAGTACACATGATTAACGTGCATGGGTTTTAACTGAACGGTTGGAGATGTGAGTCTACCTGAAAGTGCCTAGGAAGAAAAGCCTGGTGGTCTCCTTCCAAAAATTGAGCCATTGAAAACTATACGGAGCACAACTGTACGGACACACAGAGGGTGGCCATGAGTCGGAACTGACCCAATGGCAACTGGTTAAATTCTATTTACAAATTTGAACACAAGAATTCTGAATATACTAACCAGTATAACTCATCATCTTTAGCTAATTCATCTTTGCAGGATAGCAGTTCCCCTAGATACGTAAACATCTTAAGGATATTTTTCTTAATATTCTTACTCTACTCTGATTTCAAATACACATGAATTGATTTATAAAACAAGAACCTAAGATTGAAATCCTAAAAGGACCTTCAAACTTGTAATTCAATAGGATTTTTATTTTTACCCCAAATAATCACAGATAATCCTGTAAAAATTTAAGGATAAAATAATCTTTATATATATATATATATAAAAATCTTTTTTCATTGTATGTCTATGTAGTGATTAAAAAATGTTGTAACTTTGTAGAATTTATGCCCCCATCAAACACAAAGTCATCTTACTTCTTTATACAAGAGTCATCCAAGAGATCAATCTTGTTTTGTACAAGCACAGTTGGGATATCTCCTACTTCAGCAACTACTTTCTCTCTCCAATTGGCAACTGCTTCAAACGATTCCCTGTCTGTGGTAGAAAATACAAGCACACAAGCCTGGGCTCCTGTAAGATCACAAAATACAATGGTTATTTACAAGAGGGGTACAGTCCTCTGGGAGGCCTGGGTAGCGTTTATCTCTGTATGTAAACGTGCCTATGATGCATTTCATTTACCTAGTTATTTAGAGAGCCTGTGCTCCACATGCAAGCACATGAAGAAAATACACTGAACGGATCTCACACTTGGTTTACTTTCAACGGGTTTTGTTTTCTAATTCAAAAAATTTTAATCCTGAGTGGTTCTCAAATTTTTCTGAGTATGAAAATCAAACACATTGTTTACTGAGCACCACAAGATACTGATATATTTAATGGTAAACATGAATGATAGGCTGTTGTCAAGTTCTATTGATATTTGTCATTTGGGTATTAATTTCTTTTAGCACACATTTAAGAAAAATGTGAGGAAAAAATCCTACTATTTCATTCGAATTACTTTTTTAAAACCTGTTTTATTTTAATAACAGATTATCAGTGATGCTAAGAGATAATCTGAAAACCAGTGCCAAGAGAAAAACACACAAACACACACGGACTTTAAAAATTTTTTGTGACATGGGTAGGGGAACAGGGCACTAACCCATCCAAGGGGAGGGTACTGTTTATATCTCCACAGAGAAAGAGGGACCAGACTTCAACCCGGCACTCCAAGACGTGAACGCAGCATGCTGGCATGAGGAAGGGAACCAGTAGAGAGGTCTGAGGGGCCGGCCCCAATCCCAACTACGTAGACAGCACCCTGTGCCCCAAGAATAATGTATTTGAGAGGGCAGCACTGAAGCTACAGCTCAGAGAGAGGGACACGTCTGATCATAGCACATGGGAGCAAATGAAGGGGGAGGAAGAGAGAGTGGAGCACATCCTGGCCCACCAAGCATTGAGCACGATATCCCTGCTCAGAGCAGTCAGTGCACAGAGAGGACCATATGGCTGGCCACACTATGAGACTCAATGTCCCTCACTGATCCACAGTGCTAGCGGACAACACTGGAGACACAGTGCGGGAACTGCGCCCAATACGACTCCACCACACCGAAGCGAAACACCGAGGTGTGCAACAGAACAGCAAGGAAGTCCCCAAGGAGCACCAAAAATAGACTTGGGGGCCAGGGTGTGGCACCCCATCAGACCTGACCGGAAAACACTCCTAAAGGTTAACAAAACAGACCTTGAACTATTTACAGGCTTTTTTTGTCATTGGTTTTCTTGTGTTTTCTTTTGTTGCTTTGTTTTGCTCTGTCTTGTTTTTGTGCATATTATTATCTCTGCAGGTCTATCTAGATAAGATAGGCAGGATAAACAATCTGGAGGAGGAAACAACAGGAGGAACAGTTCCGGGGAAGGAAGTAGGTGTTAACAAACCCAGGGACAAGGGAACAACAAGTGATCCAAAATCGATGGTGAGGAGGGTGTAGGAGGCCTGGTAGGGCTTGATCAAGGGCAACGTAACCAAGAGGGATTACTGAAACCCAAATAAAGGCTGAGCATGATAGTGGGACAAGAGGAAAGTAAAGGGAAATAAAGAACTAGGAGGCAAAGGGCACTTATAGAGGTCTAAATATAGGCATGTACATATGTAAATACATTTGTATATGACGATGGGGAAATAAATCTATGTGCATATATTTATAGGTTTAGTTATTAAGGTAGCAGATTAAGAGGCATTGGGCCTCTACTCAAGTACTCCCTCAACACAAGAATACTTTGTTCTATTAAACTGGCATTCCATGATGCTCACCTTCCCGACACGACCACTGATGATAAAATGTGTGCATAAGCAAATGTGGTAAAGAAAGCAGATGGTACCCGGCTATTGTGTCTGGGGTCTTAAAAGGATTGAAGATAAACAAGTGGCCATCTAGCTCAGAAGCAACAAAGTCCTTATAGAAGAAGCACACCAGCCTATGTGATCACGAGGTGCTGCTACGGTCAGGTATCAAAGAACAAAAAATCTTATCATTGTGAATGAGGGGGAGTGCGGAGTGGAGACCCAAAGCCCATCTGTAGGCAACTGGACATTCTCTTACAGAAGGGTTGAGGAGGAGACAAGCCAGTCAGTGCAGTATAGCACCAATGAAACATACAACTTTCCTCTAGCTCTTAAATGCTTGCGCGCCCCACCCCCATCATGATCCCAATTCTACCTTACAAATCCAGCTAGACCAGAGGATGTACACTGGTACAGACAAGAGCTGGAAACACAGGGAATCCAGGACAGATAAACCCCTCAGGACCAATAATGAGAGTAGCAATACCAGGAGGGAAGGGGAAGGTGGAGGCAGAAAGGGGTAACCAATCACAATGATCTACATACAACCCCCTCTCTGGGGAACGGACAACAGAAGTGGGTGAAGGGAGACATCGGTCAGTGTAAGGCATGAAAAAAAAATTATAAATTATCAAGGGTTCTGGAGGGAGGGGGAAAATGAGGAGCTGATACTAAGGACTCAAGTAGAAAGAAAATGTTTTGAGAATGATGATGGCAACAAATGCACAAATGTGCTTGACACAATGGGTATAGATTGTGATAAGAGTTGAACGAGCCCCAATAAAATGATTTTAAAAAATTTTTGTGAGTGAAACAAATGTCATTATCTTTTCATTCCTTTTTCCTAAGAACTTGTCGAAGCTCCCTTGTGTGTGTTAAGTGTTTAATTCCATTTTTCCGTGAGCTTTTTGTAGCATTTTTGGTGTTTATTTGCAGAAACAGAATTTAAAAGTAAATGAAATTTTCCCATGAACTATGTAAGTAAACTAGAGTAAAAAAAACCCCACCTATTTTTTAATCCAAACTAGCTGCACATTTACCATATCCTATCTATTGACAATATTTTAACTCTCAAATTAGATAATAATATACAAGATTTTTAAAGTGTGCAGGAATCTTCTAGAAGAAGCTTGTTTTAGAAATGAAGCTGTTAGCTCAGCAGCACGGTGATAAAAGAGGGTGTTTATTCACCAAGCGAAGTGTCCCAGGGGTGAGGAGATTTCCTGGAATTAGGCATGTGTTCTTATGGTAACGCCACCCTTCCAGAGCCTTTGCTAGAAGAGCTGCCCACCACTCACGTACAGGGAGGCGACCTACGACATGCATGGCCCAAGGAAGGAAGCCTGCAGGAAGTGAGCGAGCATAGGCAGAAATGGACAGTTTGCTATTACTGCAAAAGCAGCAGCTTCCTAAAGCAGTCTTCCCCACAGAACAGATTTTAAATGAAATTACAAATTCTAATAATGCTCAGAAAGCTAGATAAACATACAGACCTGAGATTATCTAAGAATTCAAGGAAAAATATAAGACTGTATTACTATATTGATACATAAGTTTATGTTACTTGAATTATAGCATTTACTACATGCTATACAAATAATAAAGTTTTAGTTATTCTATTAAATTATTTAACACTGAAAACTATTCAACTAAGACTAGATTCCTTCATTATTATAAAATCCTGTTTGTTGTTTTGAACCTAGAATTTTTTATTCAGTCACTTGTCATTTAAATTGGAAGATGTTAATAGGATCTTTCTAGATATACAAGGTCTCAGGTATTTCATCAAAATAAAAAATAAGTTTATAATGAAAAAGAGAATAAGATACAAGTTTCAAATATATAGACAGTAATAATTAACTTAGAAAAAGTCCACACTCTTTTAGAAATCACGGATCAAAGGATGAACCAGAATGCTCAAAACATTCCTCAAATTAAATTTTTAGTGGGGAATGGGGTGTGGAGAGAGTAAAAGAATGTGAACATGTTAAAATGCTTGTCTGGTTAGGAAGAGGATGTAAGAATTACTCGTGTTAAGTAATCAAGGCACGTAAACACAGATGGAATAGCAGACACTTGTAGCCCTTGTCACGCCCCTCCGCCCCATGGGTTTCAGAGCAGCTGTGGAAGGTTCTGGGCCTGTTGTTCATGTTCTACTTTAAGCCTGAGCGGTAGGTGACTCTGGTTTTCAGTATTCGTGCTGCTTCTGGTGCTTCAGAAAGGCTCTTGGCTGAGGTGCATCCCTGGAGGATGGGCAGAATAAATACCCCATCCTCCCTTTGGTGGAAAAATCTTGAGGCGTGTCTACACACTTCCTCAGAAGGATTGGTCCCCAGTGGCCGACAGTAATTAGTTCATTCCCATTGCCACTGAGTTGACTCTAACTCATAGCAATCCTACAGGGAGAGTAGCACCGCCCCTTAGGGTTTCCCAGAATGTAAATCCTTAGAGGAGTAGACAGCCTCTAATGCACCCATCATTGGTTGTTCTCCCGCACTCTCTTCCGTCACTTCTACTTGATCTTGGGATCACCTTCTGTAGAGAGCAAGGAGACACTTCCACTAACACAGCATCGGCTTGAAAGGCAATCACCATGAGAATAATTTTCTCCTGTGTAACCATTAAGCCAAGGGAGGTACCTGGATTTAGCCAGCCTAAACGAGACACTATGACACACATATACACTTCAAGGACTACAGAAAACATAAGCGGGAGAGAAACTGGCAGAAGTCCTAAGAAGAAGAGACTTTTCAGAAATCTCTGGAATACGGTTATCATCTAAGTACATCTACACCCACCTTATGAGTTGATCTGTATAAATTACAATTTAAAATACATATACAAAAACAGACCCGGATAACTTCTCTGGCTAGAGGAATCCTGAGGAACACTGGACAACAACTTGTTTCAATTCCCTCGAATTATCATCCATCCAGCTAGTTAAAATGTTATTATCTACTTATGATCCATAATGTGTCTTCAGGAAAATCCTCATATCAAAAAGTTATTTCTGAAGCACTCTTTTAAACTTCAAAAGGGGCCTTCTCAAGCAAATTTTGACTGCGGTATCGATGGCAAAGAGCAGACTGCAAAGGGTGAGAAGGATTGTTACTGCAAAGGAAATGACTGTGAACCCATTGTACAATTCTGGAACTCCCTCCAGTACTTCTTTTAAATGAAATTAAAAAGGTTAGGGAAAGAGAGGAAGATCTACTTTAATCTTTCTTCCAAGAAA